TCTTCAAGTGGTACTTTTTATATTAACCACAGAACAGTTCATGGAAATGCTATAAATTTTATGATAATCATCTCTTGTAATTAATGAAAATCCTCAACAAATGTAGGATGCTTTTTTGCTCGTTTTATTGCCTTTTTTTATTGGCGAGTTTGAGGAATTTAATGATGAAATTGGTCGACAAAGAAGAAGATCCAGGGGACAAATAAAAATGGAAAGAAATAAGAATCCTGGCAACAGGTGATGTGAGAAAGGAAGAGACAGCAGCACGTAACACTCAACTCACCAAGCAGACGGATTCGACCTGAATGTCGATTGGATTCTTCCGAAACTTCTTCTTTTACACTCCTTCAAATCCTTCCCACATGTTTCTATTTCGACTTAGTAATTTTATCACGGCTGATCCATTGCGCAGTGATACACCATGCGAGTCCTCGGAAACCAAAATGTGCTTAGAATTTTTATATAATTTCCCAATAGACTGGGCACTCTTCTAAATACTAAAAAACTTCACATCCTACTTTTATCTCTTAATTTTGTCAACACAACTATCAAAATAAAGTCACTTAAATTGGAACACTTTTTCAAAACAGCTGATTTCCTCCATCTATTGTATGAAAAAAACAAAAAAGACCTTTTTTTACAAATCAATGATGATTGAAATTTTCGCAAAATAAATGGTTGGGAAATCACATAGCAAGTTTAATGTTTGATATTATTTAAGAAACTTGATTTAATATTTTAATACAAGTATGAAAACATGAATACTCAAGTAGAAGGTAATTATAAAGAGATAAATTGGGATAAAGTTTCTTTGATTGAGGCAGAGGAACCTTGACTGGACTGGAAACCAAATCATCATTGAGTCCCCAATCTAGTAAAGTTAAATTTAAAATTATATCAAGTTCAATTATTTGAGCATATGTGACTTAAAAAAATTATTCCAATTATTTCAAACAAGAGTAGTTAATACACCACTTGTAAACTTTTATCAACTAACTTGGAGCAGGAGAGCTGAATGGTTTTGGTGAAATAATAAATCATGCGTTTATTGATCATGTTGATAAGATTAAATTATCAATAGTTTTTCAGTATTCGATCCAATAACAGTATTTAGATAGCCTGCAAAAACAATCCAGAATGTGATTCTGATAGATTGATACTTGGCTGAGCAAATGATAGATTATCAGAGCATTAAAAAGGATGATAATCAATATAATATTCAAAACTGTTTTAAACCAAATAATTGATAAAAAAATAGTTTTTATCAACAATTATAAACCTTTAATTTAATGTTTTATTAAATTTGATTAAGAAACATAAATGTAAATATTTCCTTTCAGCTTTTTAGAAAATTCATAACAACTAGATTCGATGAACTATTCCAGCACATAACCTTGGCTCATATTTAAAAAAAAATTCAATATAAATCCTAGTCCCATGACGGTGCTATTAGACTTGGAGCAGATATTTTCATTTAAGTCACATAAGTCAAGGAAGCTTGTGAAGCCTTTACTGTTGAAGACTGTCTATGAGCACCAATATCATCAGTACTTCAGTTATAGGGAGTGCGTGCAATTGAATTCTGAAGATGTCGATGAGAGCCTGCACATCACAGAATATTGGTTGGTTGGTATATATGATCTCAGCTGATGTAGACATATAAGATAGGACAACTTAATGAGATATAACGTCGATGAGTGGCAGTTACAACGTAAAGAGCACAGGCAATATCACGTAGAGGTGGGTTGCCGAGAAAAGCTAAAGATGTAGCAGTAGGTAGATAGATGCACCCGAGAGTAGAGTAATGGAAGAGAGAAAAGCAACACCTGGAGGTTTCATCAGACAAGCAGGACCCGCAAGGACATGGAGAGTGTAATGTAAACTAATTAACAGTGAGTCTACGGCAATTAAGGCTGCCCGAGTGCTTCACTCTGACACTCCTCTAACAATCTATACCACGCTTGATAACAAGGTATTAGAATTATACCCACTACACTCTCTGTATTCTAGACTTTCCCTCTGACAGTGTTTTAACGTAATTAAAGTTTGAGTTTATGGAGTAAAAGCTATAATTTCCGTTTAATTCCTATTTTAATTTTTTCTCAAAAAAAAGCACTTCCTGTTTGTGATATTGCAATAATGATGATAAATTGCTATGTTACGTGCAATGTTTACGAAATGAGGGCATCATAGGAGATTCCTGGTGAATAAATTTGAGAGTAAAAATTTTAGAGTGAGGTAAGAAGCTTTTACAATGAAGAGAAAGACAAATGTTTGCCTAAAATATGGAAGAGCTGTCTCAGCAGGTCTAAGTTGTCTTTCATATTTTATTTTTCTTGAGTTTTTATTTATTTTTATGTTGTTTTTGTATTTTATTTTTTATTTCTTTTTTCGGTACTAAGTCGTTTAGCTAAAGTACCTAATAAAAAGTTCATTCCATTAACACGTAGACTTCATCTTATCTCTTCATCCAGACTACTACTCCCACAAGTGTTATATATATATATATATGTATATAAAACTAGAAAGACACAAAATCACAGTCTGTTCATGGATTATGTTATCAAATTAACTTACTCAACTTTTTATTTCAGTTCACTTATTTTTATTAAGGTTAATAGGTTCAGCAATTGTCGACACTGTTGGTTAATAGAAAATAAAATACCTAATGAAATTGAATAAAACCAACCAAGAATCATCTTATTAGCAAAGATTAAAAGTCCATCTTTTTTATTCTTTAACTTGAGAAAAATCCATTTCATCCTATTTTCATTTAATATCTTTAAAATATCCTACAAATGTAAAAGCATTCGCATGAATAAAATACATCACTAAAATTAAGAAGTCTAACTGGGATTATTGTAAACAAGGACATAAATCAACACTTAACTTTATGAAAAAATATTCTTCTGTTAGACAGTTAATATTTTCATTATTTATTGTTTTCCATACAGTTCTCATTGGAATATTTAAAAGATTAAAGTTTCCTTTATACTTTTAGTATAAATATCAACTTGTGCACGTAAAAAAGAATATACTACATGTAATTCTTGATGTATAACTAAATAACAATTGTTACAGTTCAGAAAATAAATATTTTACAAAGCCAACAAAATTTCAGTAAAATTTACGCTACTTTAAATTTTTCATTTCATATAAATACTATACTTACATATTTTTAACCAATAAAAAATTGCCATATTTCCTTGATGTACTTGGAAACAACTTGACTTATTTTGCTCGAAACCAGTTCACTTTAAGTTACCTTGGGATGCATTGAAAAAGAAGTTTGAATCGAAATTCGTTTAGTCGTTCTTGAAAGGTCATTGACGAAAAATATTCACTCATAAATAAAAATATATTTTTTTGCAATGTTTAATTTTAAAATGGATTACAAAAAAATCTATTCAATCTCTTTCAGTGTTATTATTGTTTTTCATAAAAATAAGAAGAGAAAGAAATTAAAAGATGGCATTCTGTGAGCCAGAGACAAAACAACAATCAAAGGAGCATTTTATTTATAATTAAAAACTTCTTACATAACACCTAATGTAGGTGGTATCGAGACTGAAGTATTATGGTGAAGAAATAGCGGATCGTTTGTCCTCATTTGTCAACACAACGTGCCGGCCCCCAAACGAATCGTTGGCAGCATTGAACGTGCTTTTGGTTGATCATTTGTCTCCATTTTCCAGTTGAACCACTAGAGGATGGGAAAGAATGAAAAAGAGGAAATGAGTGTGAACTCGAGGCCACAACTGTTCCAGCTGTTCCTACTTTAATGAACTTTTCACCAATTTTGGTGGAATAATCTCAGAGGAAAGAATTCCCAACGGTTTAAGCTACCACGAGACGATTGGATCCTGCGAATGCAGACTTTCCACAAAATTAACTACATCACGTGATTATGTTGAACTAAATCTGAACATCCTTGCAATATTATAACCACTTACTCGGAATGCAAGCAATGGATAAACCGAATTCAATTGAAGGATAGAAATATTGGTTGAGGATTTGCTACATCAAGATTTCTCCCCTGCTATACTGCGTCTAGATCCTTCTATCTACCGTCACAAGAGTGCACGCGCCCTCTTTGTGGATTCTCTGGTGATATCCGCTCGCTAAATAAATCTTTATTGCATGAGCCTGCCACTCGCTTGAACCTGGTGAATCCCACGAGCACGGAGGCAAACCGAATCCATCTCTCGAAAGTGATCCAATAATTTCCGAGACGTGATTCTCTTGATCCCACTGTCTACCACGCGAGTGCGTCATCTTGATTGAATGTCTCATCTCGCACTAAATTCCATTATACAAATCCTATCATTTGTACAACTAACTTTAATCTTTGGTATTTTTACTTACCGTTTTTTGATGAGCCAAAGAAAAGTGGCTCCTAAGAACAGGGTTAAAGAGACTTAAATTTATTTAGAATCAATCTCTTTCAGTGAGCTCATGCTTTCCTTGCTGAACAGAATTACCATCAAAGAAACTCAAAATGATCTAATGTTTTTACTGATTATATTATCTAGATTTATCATAAATACATTCAATGAGATTTTAAATATTTTATCTCAATTTTATTAATAATATTTTAAAATGAACATTGAAAAAAATAAATTGTAGGATCAAGTAAATATATGATTGCTGTAGGATCAAGTAAATAGTCTCTTGTACTAAATAAATAATTCATTCAATAGATTATTAAATATTTATTTTAATTAATTATTTACTTAACATAAGTGATTATTTACTTCATCCTACAACAATTAAATATTTACTTGATATGAGAATTTTTTTTTTCCAGTGAAATAATGTCTAGAAAATTATAATAACAAGTTAAAAGAATCATTTATTAATCATGTCATAACAATTAAAAGATCAAATGGAATACCTAGCCGGATCTAGCCTCAGTCATATACCAACATAAACAAATTAGTCGAGCGTTGCTATAAACAAAAACAGTCGATAGTCAAACGTACAGATTCAAATATTTTAATTCTGTTGTTATAAATATCAATGTTTCAAATCAGTATGACCCTTCAAAATCTTTGTTCATTTTTTCAACAGATACAACAAATATTACCTGTGTTATAGGTTTGAAAAATATGTTTGGAGTAAAATTGATATTAACAGAATGTTTGGTTCCAATTGCTCTTCAAAAGGGTCAGTAATAAACCTCAAATTTTAACAAAACAATTACAAGTATTTGTCTTAAACAAATATAAAATTCCATATTCAATTTCATCCAGCATCCAATCTATTATATGTACATTAAGAAGTCATCAATTTTCTATTGTGAAACTATGAAGTAACAGAGTGTTTAGATGTGATAATATATTTTCTAGGACGTTATAACAATTTATCTTGAACAGTTGAAACCAAGCATAGTTGTAATTAATATTGCTCTACATGTAAATAGAACTATGAATAAAAAAGTAGTCTGCACACATATAGGTTTATTTATATTGGTATCAACCAATTTCAAACACATAATATACCTGGGATGAATTAAATAGTTGGTCAATATTTGGAGCATGGTTAAATAATTGATACATTTACTCCATGTTTCACTGTGATATATTATCATTTATTTCCACTGCATTTGAGTAAAATATAAAAGAGACAAGTGACTATTTTACTTTAAAAAGTTACTGAGACTCAAATTTAATATTATGAAGTCAGTAGTAAGTTTCAACTATTCTAGAGAAGTTAAGTAAATAAAATAAGTTATGAAGACAATAACTGTAGTTTCATATTTAAATGATAAACTAAATTTATGAAATAATTGCAGTTTGTTACAATTTTTAATTAAACTGCACTTCAAAAAACATTTTATTGTAAAGTAATTTGAATTAATGGATAGCTTTTCAAATATTGAGGTTCAAATTATTCGTTTTAAATTTAAATATTAATCATGGCTCTATTAAAATTATTGAGTAAAGATGAGTGTTCATTGTTAATAGGTATAATTAATAATTTGTTTTAATTATCCCAATAGCATATTGAGCTCATGAATCCACATCCAAAGAAGATCTCAGACCATGTTTAGAAAGTGCTTAGCAGGCACTTGCGTTGAATTTATGAAGTGTTTATTAGATCACGTTCAGAGTACATTAAAATTCATGGATAAATAAAAATCTGCATATACCAAAATATGAACAATGACACATTGACAAACATTATTATATTTGGTAATTATTTATGAGTAAAATTTAACATTAATTATTATACTGATTTTTTAACTTTATATTTTAATTATAGTGAAATCATTGAATTTTCAAATAACGTAATTTTATTAAAAAATATCGTCAAAAGTATTGAAAAAATTCTAATACAAGACAAATATTTTCCAGCCATTAAAATAGCGGAGTATATTGGTTACAAGTTTTTAATGAAATGTAAACGAACTTAGCAAGAAATCATTCAATAATTCGAATAATAAATAATTCCATAATGATATGATGCAACATCAATATTTACTCAATATAATAAAAAATAAATATTCTCAACCAATTTAATTATGAAACACACCGGAAGTATTCATACAATAACTTCACACCTGCATAATGCATATATAAATATTCTCAACAGTGATTATAATAACTATTTATTTTTAGTTGAAAATAGCTTTTAAATATTTGAAAAATCTCGAGAAAAATATGATACACTTTTAGAGGGCTAATTTGAGGCTGAAATGAGGAAGCGAAAAACCGAGTAGTTTGACGAGATGAGACTGATAAGCGGAAGATAGAGCAGAAGAGAGACACTATAGTGATGGTAGTGGTTGTAGGATGGAAGAGAAGAGAAATGCAAGAGGGAGTGTGACAATAGCCTGCAGATTGGAGAGGCAGACGTACAGTCAGGCTGGTTGTACAGTCAAGAATATAAAAGCAAGAGAAACAGGAACGATCGTTGAAATCGCTAGCAGACTATAAGTTTATAATACACTGTTGGCGCTGTCTGACCATAGCCTGATATTACTACTCGTATAAATACAAATATCCTCATTCGGGACCCATCCTAGAGATTCTTATTTCCTTTTTCAAATCTTTATGTAAGTTTTAAACCATTAGTAAGAGATCTGGATGAATGTTTTATAAAATGAAATAAAAAAACGAGAAAAAAATAATTTTCTTCAATTGCAAACAGGAAGAGCTTTTTAGTAGCGATATTATTAAGTCTATCGGCAGTCAATTTAGTGAAGAGAAAGACATAGAAAACAACTTGGCGGGTAATTCTCGGTAAAGACGACAGCCAATTGGTTCGGCCATTACCTGACATTATATTTTAACGCTAGCAGGCAGAACGAAATGCTTCCGGTAATCATTTTGCTGTCGGGCATCTTTCGTTTTAGGCCAAGTTTCGTATAAGTCTGAGCAAGAGAAGAAAGAGAAGAGAAACCGGAGGTGGACAAGTGGATGCTGTGGGGGGATAGAGGGGGGCTGCTGAGAGAAGAGTTTGGTATATAGAAGATAGAAGGAATGAAGGGTAGAGAAAACTTGGAAACGCGAGTCTGGGCCGGAAGAAGTCCGTCTCAGTGTTCGGATGCCGTAGCTGTGGGGCGTAATATTGATCATGGAGTAAGCGGGGGTGTCTGCACTCCCCCTTATCCCTCTTGGAAGTCGCACGGTGGAGAGAAAGAGCCGGTAACTGAGAGAAAGAGGAGCAACCCATGGAGCTAGCAACCAGAGAGTGTTGCAACAGACCAACTGCATCTACGGGCTCTTTAGATATATACACTAACGCAGTAGATCTTAAGATTCTTTGCTAAAAAGTATTAAAACTATGGAAAGTAGTTTTGAGTTTTAAATAAATTTCACTGTTTATTTATCTTATTACGCTTATGCATGAGTTGTAATCGTTTGAAATATATATCATTTTTTTGTCTCATTTATAATTTCTGCATGAAAACATTCCCAAGTATCAGAAACAAAAGGAACTGCAATTCAGTCTAGACCAATCGAAAATACTTCGAAATATCTATTTACTTTTTTCTTTCATAATCATCATCATCATCATCATTATTTTCTACGTTTTTTTCTGACCTGACAGATTAAGCTTTTGGATGGAACGCGACACTTTAAGCCAGACGAGGCTTTTCTATGGTTTCAATTCACTACCGTATAGCACTAGTATGTACATACACATCACCCCCTCCATAAAATATGCTACGAAAAAATTTTTTTTTCACATATCCCCCTTTTTTAATGTCGGAGCTTTGAAAGCAGGGTGTGCAGGGTACTGTCTAAAGAGTTTTTTAAAAGCTTTCAAAATTTTTTTCGCGAAAATATTCAAAAACCGTCAACCAACCAGAAATGATCTCTCTTCCTTCTGTAAACACTAGAAGTAAAAAATAATTTAGGTTTATACAGATATTTTATTCACGCACATTTTTTAACATCGAAAATCGAATCAGCTCAAATAAAATATTGCAGAGTAATATAATATTAAAAGAAAAAAATGATAGAGGGAGGTAGAAGGTTGGTCGATAGTGCAGGAGAGGGTGTTGAGTGGGTTGAAATCGAGAGAAGAGAAAAAAAATAGAGATTGCAAGAGAAAAAGAAAGAGAAAGAAAACGTCGAGACCTCTCCAATTACCGCGCGGCTCTCCTCCTCTGGCGACTGACGTCAGCGTTTCATTAATTTTAATTGAATATCCTTAATTTTCATGGGATTCCATTGCTGCGCGGCCGGCCGCGAAGAGTGCGGCAGCTACGAAAGGAACGAGACATCAAGAGTAATGTGTATGTATGTACACTACAAACAAATTTCTATACACTTAACAAATACGTATTTATCTCTTATCTACATGAGTAACGTTCTCGAAAAAATTAAGTCTTTTAATTTTAATTGAGATTTTAATGAAAATTCTCATTAAAAAAACTTTTTGTTTATTTTATAAAAACACCCCGTAATCATAATATTGCTATAATAAATGGCTAATTATATTTAAGTGATTACCATGATAAAAATTGCTTAACTTAAATGTCTGAGAAACTAGGTAAAAAATCTCGTAAATCCAAGATAAAACAATTTTATCCATAAAACAAATGTTGGTATATCTAAACGTTCACGTAGAGAAGAACTTCATCTTCAACCCCTCTATGAAAAAATAAAGCTTTAACCCATTTGTTTTATAAACAAATGTTCAAAGTTGACAAAGTTATGACATTTATACTTGAAAAAAAATAGCTGTTGTAAAAAAGCATCAATTTTATGCTGAAATAAAATTTTATTGAATGAAAAAAAACAAAAATAAATTATTTTCTTTTTTTAATTCTCTTTTAAAACCATAAACCCATGAGTAATCTCATAAAATAAAATATTAAATAAGGATCACTCTTCCTGAACAAATTTTGATAAAAAGGGATTTTTAATTGAATTATTTAAGAAATTAAAATTCAAGCTTATCTTAAAAGGAAAGAAGAAGGAAAAAAAATCAATAAAAATCTATAATTTGTTTTTTCCTTCCACCAAAAAAATACATTACTTCCGTTGTGGTATTTCGAATGTCATCAGTATTCCGAAGACAAGCCAATAGCTGCGATTATCCTGTTTGGAAATCCCCCCTTTTCGTCTTCGAGTATCTACCGAGCAGTTTAATGTAATGGGACACGACCATTAACTCTCCGATATACATCTCAACTGGTTTGTATGCATCATCCATTCAAGAACAGCATGATCCTCTCCCTCCCATTCCTTTACCACCCTTTCCAATAACTTGACTTGATACTAAATTCCCAAGAGCTTTTGCATTTGAAACTCGATAGCAATATATCTTTTCTATTTTTGTTTTTATATTTTTATTTACTCATGTAAACAATTTAACGAGTATTTAACATTTAATTACATTTACTTGACGTTTCATCAACTTTATTTATAAAGATCTTTAAAAGATAATGGAGACAATAAGAAACAGAAGTCAGTCAAATCTGATGAATCAATGAATTTCGTGAAACAAATGGTATAAGATAATGTCAACAGCGTGCAAATAGAAATTGAATGGGAAGGAGAAACCACGATATGGCGTATAACAGTGTAGAATATTGCGTGGTGTACACGTCAACCTTCCTAGTAAACAACATGGATAGATCGACGGCTATGTTATGCCTTAATAAGGCTTTCATAAAGTTAAACACAGACCAATCTACAAAATGAACATGGAGCAAATACGAATAGACTGCTCATACTCTCATGTTGTACTTCATGTGGATGTGCTGAATGTATGCTCCTAACGAGAATAGTATTATGTAGCTTATTAGATTTTAATTAATAATGTGATTAATAATTATATAAATAAATACCGCAGAATTAAAAATAAAATTGATAAAGAAAAAATTTTATTGAAAATCGTTCTAAATGTTTATATCAACGTGAAGATTTTTTTATAGTTTTTACAACTGATCAATAAACAGAGCTTCCATACCGAAGTATTTTGGATAAAAATAACTCTACAACAAAGTAACTTTACTGGAAAACTTACAAAGTAAAAATATCTTTGAAGATAAAAATTTGTTTTTTTTTTCAAAAAAATTATTTATTAAAAAATTTTTCGTTTCAAGGATAATTTGATAAGTCCTTATAATGACATGGACGAAGGAAATATGCTAAAATTCTTAGCAGATATGATGAAGAGCACAGCATTGTTTTTTATTTTTTGCTGATAATTGAGATAACTTTTTGCATTCACGATGCACCAAATTAATTATTATGTAAAGTAGTCTTTGACATCGCATTCAAAAATTCTTGAAAATTTTTAATATAATTACAGCTTAAATTTCATTATTATTGATTGAAATTTTTTTTCTTTGTTTTTTATTTATTATTATCATGATTATCGACGTAGTTATTTTCATACTGTGTAGCACATAAAAACGTTAATCGATATTACATAAGAAGTTAATGAACAATGATGTTTTGTTTATTTCTACCAGTTATAGGAATAAGAATCATTAAATGCACCACTCTATTCTCGGGTAAGAATAAAATATTTACTTTGTTGCCAAGTGTTATCTATGCGTAGAGAACTGCATTGAAATATTTATTATTTCCACCTCTAGTTTTTTAACATTATAGTCTAATTTATAAATGGCTGCAAATAACACACCCTCTCAATTTTTATTTTAAAATATAATTTTTTACATTTTTATAAATAACATTGTAAAATACAATTTTATTTTTAAACTTTTCTATCAAAATTATTCCTTCGAAATTTTTTAATTAATTTTTATTGTTATTTATCTCCAATGGATAAACATATGGAGAATATATACATGAACCCATAAATTATTGCCCACATAAATACGAGCATAAAATGGTTGAATTTTTTTATAAGTTGTATCGTATCTGAAAATTTATTTTTTCCACACAAGTTATATCTATCCGGAATTTTTTTATATTGCATGATTTATTTTTCTATCAAATTTTTATACCTTAAAATAATATATTAAAATTGAATTAAAAATGCATTCAAAATTTAAATGAAACGAAAAAAACGAAATTATAATTATTTTTTATCAATTTCGCTGATTATTTTTATGATTAATAAAACTGCAAAGAAAAAAATCGTATAATTGTTATCAAAAGAAAATAACGAGAGGATATAAAATCAAACAACCGCACTTGGTTATAGTGGCATGACGAAGCCGTCGAAACTTTCCAACTTCATCGAGACACATCATTTTAGTCTTTAGCCGTGGGCTTTTTTTGCCAATCCCTTCTTTTACTGTTTGAAACTACCGGGTTGAAAGGGAAGAACATAGCCAGACACGTCTGTACTCTCTACTCACCCTAAAAGAATTCCCCTTTCTCTATTTCTTTTTCTCACATTTCTCCCCCACGTTTTCTTCTCTTTCAAGTGCTCAACAAAATTTGAAGCTCTTTTACTTCGCACCGTCTAAGTCTTACTACTGCAATATTTTGTCTGTTCTTCACAATGTTCAACTTAGAGAAAGCTTAATGAAATGGGATTGCTTGTTAAAATGATATGAATGACATTGAGTTATATTAATTAGTGAATTTATGAATAAATATTTCGGAAGCTTAAAAACAAAACGACTTTATTCTTATAAAATATATTCTCATTCCGAGGGAGAATTTTTTTTATTTATTATCTAATAAAAGCGTATTTATTATTACTGAGCTAAAAATAAGCCAATTCCGTTTGTAAATGTCATGGAAGAAGTATTACTTTATTTCTATATAGCTTGTAGTGGTATCGTGACTGGTGCCAACAATACCTAGCTACGGAAGCAACGACAAATGTCATGCGTCGAAATTGGTTGTAAGTCAAGTAGATACTGACTCGTGTAGACAGCCAACACTTTATGTGGAGAATAATCGAATAATCGCGAAAAAGGTATATAAAAGGTAGATGAAACAATCGTCCAACAGTGTGAAATTACTGTTTTCACTATACATCAACAAATGACATACTATATTTACACCTTTTCTACAAATTTTTTTAATAAAAAAAATAAAAATTCACATCTACCAATGTTATATTACAAGTTTCTCAAATATTCGACTTTTGATCAAAAGTTTATGCATCAGAAATATTTTTAAAAAATATTCTTTGAATCTCGAGACAAAGAAAGGAGTAAAATAGAAAATAAAAACGGAGAAATATGAAATTTTATGAAAAATAAATTCAATTATTTCCTTTTTCAATAAGGAATTTTTTACACTTTAAAAGGTTTCCTAGTGTTAAAAAAATGAT